GGAGGCGCAGGCCTGTCCCGGGTCCCCGCAGGTCAGTGTGAAGGCGGGCACTAGCGGAGGACCTGGCCAGAGGTGGTGGTGGCCGGCAGTGGGATCTATCTGGGGACAGCGGGGGGTGGGGTGGGGAGCAGGAGAAGAGATCCGGGAGGTTGGTGAGGAGGGGGACGCGGAGCGGGCGGGGGCAGAGAAAAAGAAAAGCAGGATCCCCAAGGGCTCGGCCCACCTTCTCGACTCCCCCTTCCTCTGAGCCCTCCATCCATTTTAGAGCAAAAAAGGGGGGGAGGGGGCGCCCCCGCAGTGCGACAGTGAAACGTAGATGTATTCTGGAAATAACCCCCCTCACCATCTGCGCCTTTGAAGACACTGACCTCCAGGAAAAGGGGTTGGGGGCGAGGCAGGTGGCCTCCGGGGGAGAGGGACGCAGAGACTCAAACGCAGTTTAAAAAGCATCGTGGTCTGGCACCCAAAGCCTGGAAATAAATGGCGGCTGGGGTGCGGGGGAGGTCTGGGAGAAAAACGCTGTGGGAGGAGGGCCCCGAGTCAGGAAAGGGGCCTGAGTCCCTGGGAGTCCACTGAGCGCTCAGCTCCCGCCTCTTCTATTTATCCGCAGGTCTGCGCGTCTGTTGTTCCCAGCACTTTGCGAGGCCTGGAAAGCAGGAGCAACCTGTCCAGAGTCCCCGCAGGTCCGTGAAGGGGCGAGGGGCGGCATGAATAGGGACTCGGCAGGATTAAGAGTGTGGAGGATTAAGAGTGTGCCTGGACAGAATTTGGGGCCCCACTGCCCATCCCCCCCACCACATGCACACAGGCCCTGCCAGGCTGAAGGATTTAGAGAAGGTGGCAGACCTGTCAGGGAATGGTTAGCTCTGGTGTGTGGGAGGAGTGGTGGGCTACCTGGTGGGTAGAAGGCACACTGGGGGCCAGGCCAGATGAGGAGAACCCTGACCTGGGGCGAGATGCAAGTACTATCCGGACCTGCATTTTACCCCGGGCCCTCAGTCTGCCCTGTCTCCTCTTCTCCTCCCCGACCCTCCCCCCCTCCCCCCAGGACACGAAAAGAGAGGAAATCTCAGCATGGAAAAACTCTACAGTGAAAATGAAGGAAAACCAGAAAAGGAGGGAAAGCCAGAAGATGAAGTAGAGCCTGATGACGAAGGAAAGTCAGAGGAGGAAGAAAACCCAGACGTGGAGGGGAAGCCAGAAGAGGAGGGAAAGCTGGAGGAGGAGGGAGAGCCAGATGATGAGGGACAACCGGAGGCTGAGGGCAAGCAGGGCAAGCAGGGCAAGCAGGGCAAGCCCGCAGCTGAGGGCAGGCCCCGGGGTGAGGGCCAGCCAGCATCCCAGGCAAAGGCAGGGAGCGAGCCGCGGGCCGCTGAGAAGCGCCCGGCTGAAGATTACGTGCCCCGGAAAGCAAAAAGAAAAAC